AATCAAATGGATCCAAGAAACAAGCTGGTGTAGCTATCCTAGTATTGAACAAATTAGACTTCAAACTAAAATCAATCAAAAGAGATGAAGAAGGTCATTTCATATTCATCACAGGAAAAATCCATTATGATGAAGTCTCAATTCTGAACAACTATGCCCCAAATACAAGGGTACGCACGTTCATAAAAGAAACATTGCTAAACTCAAATCACATATACTCTTTTTGCTAGGTTTTATAGACAAAAGTTCCAGGATTACATCAGTAGGTACAGGTTGGTTTCTGATTGGTTGACATTTGGGAACAAGCAGGAGAATTTCTCAATGTTGTATTTTGGCATGAAATACCTGTGTACCAATCATTCTAATTGGTCAGTGATTAGAGATCATTCTGTGGTTTCTGTGGCTTTGTCTTGTTATTTGCAGGTGGCCTGTTGTTCATAAATACCAACAGTTTTCAAAACTGTATCCTGGAGACTACAGGGGAGTTTTTGGTCTCCCCTGGAGTTTCTTTTGTGGCCAAATGGTTCCCAGGAACCAAGTATCTAGGAGGCTGGGGGTGGCATCTGGAGTTTCTTTCTGTTCAGTTTTGATCCTAGACTCCAGGGAGCCAGAGGATCTGGAGTTTCCTTGTGTCTTTTCTGTAGCCTCTCATGGCTGCTAAAGAAGGGGCTGAGTGAGGATCTAGTCCCTTCAAAGACAGCATGGTCAAAAGGAAACAATGTAGTAAGGAGCAACGAAATTTGAGGGCACATCTGCCATTAAGGGAATTGTGAGAACTTTTATTCCCAGCTGTAGTGTCTTCATTTCAATTCCTGACATCATTTCTAAGTAACTCGGCCCGTGCACTTAACATGAGTTATTTTTTTTCTGGAACCTTTGGTCTGAAGCCAGAGAGATGAAGGCAAGAGAGTTCACTGATTTTCATATGTCCTTGAACATAGGAGAAATGGATGGCATGCTGAGTGTGGAAAGAAATCTCAGTGAGTACATTTCCATCTTTCCAAAGTTACCAGGGAACACTTTTTTTTTTGAGACAGGGTTTCTCTGTGTAGCTTTGTAGACTGGCTGGCCTTGAACTCACAGTGATCTGCCTGTCTCTGCCTCCTGAGTGCTGGAATTAAAGGCATTTGCCACCACCACCTAGTCACAGGGAAGACTTTTATGTAAAGAGATGCATAACACATGCTAGGTCTGGAATTTTCTGTAAGTGTGAATTTTCTGAATCAGCAGCTGTAACATCATTAATTAATACTTAATGAATATCTGCCAGGAGCCTAGCAGTCATTGCCCAAATTCTTCTCCTTCCCTTTTCCGAGAAGAAAACATGAGACATTTTTAAAACATCTTTTTATTTTTATTACATTCTATCTATTTATTGTGAGTACACACACACACACACACACACATGTGCTCATGTGCTTATGTCATGGTATGTGTGTAGAGATGAGAGAAAAACTTGTAGAAGCCAGTTCTCTCTGTCAACCATGAGAGCCAGAGAGATCAAATTCAAATCATCAGGCTTGGTACCAAGGACCTTTACCTGCTTAGTCATTCATCTTAGTGGCCCCAAAACTCTTTAAATTAAAGGCAGAATATAATCAAATTTTCATGAACTATATACCCCTTCATGCTGATTTCTTTTTTTAACAAGAAGAACTAAAAAAGAGGACAGAAGAAGGAATAAAGAGGATAGGAGAAGTCGAGAAAATTCACTAACACTATATTACAGTGTTACTGCTCTGCATTGCATATGGGCTTCTGAAACTTCAATAGCCATCTCTAGGTAATGTTTGCTATTGTCACATTTGAGGGTAGTTATATTAGTCAGAAAGAATGCCTCTGCTTTCTAAAAACTGGCTGTAACAAAAATGGATTAATTAGGCTGCAGATAATTGCATAGGAAAAGGATTGCAAACTCTGTGAAAGATCTGACTATCAAGTTGATTTCAGCTTAGCAACTTCCATCTGTTTCCCAAATGTGATTTAGTGTATATGTACTTTTTCAAAGGCAAAATGAGCTGCAATGGGAATTTTTTTCAATATCTCTGTTGGATTAAATGTTGGCAGAATGTATAAACTAGTTTCAATATTCAAATCGCCATTGCCACAGGGGTCATACATTAAATTAAAAGATGGGAAGGTGGCCAGGGAGTCAGTACAGTGGTAGAGTCCTTGCCTAGAATCCCCCAGTGAGGGGACTGGGCTGTAACCAGTGGTAGAATATCTACCTAGAATCTCCCTGTAAGGGGTTGAGCAGTAGAGCACCTGCCTAGAATCTCCCAGTGAGGAGCTGGGGACATAGCTCAGTGATGAAGCACTTGCCTAGGATGCACAGCGTCCTGGGCTTAAGGCTTAATTTAAGCACTGTAAAAGCACAAGGCAATGGATGTGTTGACTCAGTCCTATAATCCCACCTACTAGGGAGACTGAAGCAAGATGAGCACAGGTTCAAGGTACATATAGACTACAGAATTAATTCAAGGTTATCTGGGCAACTTAATGAGACCCTGTCTCAAAAAAAGGCAGGGGTGGGCATATGTAACCCAGTGGTAAGATAGTTGGCTAATATGTGCAATGCCCCCAACTAAATCAGCTTGGAGCCTATGACACATGTGCCAGGGTTCCTCCAGAAAACATCCAAAGCAGTTCTTCGTATAAAACCAGAGCAGAGGATAGGAAAAGGCAAAGTGGTTATAAACAGTCTAAAGGAAATCTTACACATAGCGTTTTCTTTGCCAAAATATTAACTCACACACTTTCCTAGGTAAATTCCAGGTTCAATCAGAGTAAAGTTGTGCTACTGAATCTTATAATGAATCTTTGCTTCCAACCTCCCTCTTTCCCTCTATCCATCCCTCCCTCCCTCCGTCCTGCCTCCGTCCCTCCTTCCCTCCCTCCCTCCCTCCCTCCCTCCCTTCCTTCCTTCCTTCTTTCCTTTCTTTCTTTTTCTGGTAGTGGTAGTTCTGGGGATTGATTCCAGGACCTCATGCAAGTAAGTGCTCTACCACTGAACCACACCCTCAGCCCCTCACTGGGGGATTCTAGGCAGGTGCTCTACCACTGACTCACACCCTCATCCCATCAATGGGTGATTCTAAGCAAGTGTTCTACCACTGAGCGACATCCCCATTCTCTCACTGGGGGCATTCTAGGCAAGCACTCTACTGCAGACTTCTCCCTCCAGCTTTGTGTCTATTTTTAACTCTGAATTAAGGTCTCACTAAGTTGTCTGGGCTCTCCGGGTACTTGCTATGTAGTCTGTATTTATACAACCTGCAGCAATCCTCCTACCTCAGTCTGACGAGTGCTGGGATTACAGGCATGCTGCATCATGCCTAGATTTTTCACCCTGATGAATCTTAAGTGATAAAACCTCCCAATGTGTTACTACCAGCTTAGATAGAAAAACTGGGGAAACCCTCTGGTTCCAATAGTAATTCTTATTGAGTTTGACTTATCCATGAACTTCTCTGATCAAGGCTTTAACTGCTAGATTCATTAATGTCAATGAACAGCTAGTTCAGTACTTGCTAACAAGGCTGGATATACTTCTACTAAATAGAAAAAAAGATTCTTGGAAAACTTTTTTAAAATAAAAAAAAGCATGGCAAATTAAGGCCAAATTGGGGGTGAAAATCACTTTGGAATCTCTGGTTTTCTCAAGTCACAATTTATAATCTACATTTCAAGGTCAATTGAACCACTTGATGACCAATCTGGGAACAAGGAAAGAGCTACAAGGAAGAATTATAAATGGACACCAGGGCATGTGACATCAACCAGACCTTAACAGCCACAGTCCGGTGAATCTGTAATGATCTTGGGTCATTCTAAAAAGCTTAGGTCACAGGGATCCCTCTGTGACCAGGGACTGTTGATTTAACATCAGCCTGGTGACATCCATTCTGCTTTCTCTGTGGGCAGAATTTAAATGTGGACATGTGGCACTAATGAGCTCTGTGGTGGAGGGGGTAAGAATGTGAGGTATTTGTGGAAAGTTGACCCCTGATCTACAGTCAGGGGCCCTCTTTTCAATTCGAAAGCATTCGTCCTTCTTGAAGTAACCACCCTTTACAGTCTAATGGGGTAGGGTGCAGGGGGCCATGACTTGGGGTGAGCATTTGCATTTGTGGGAAAATGACTTAGAGATAACCTCGCACGTGGGATTGCCATTTGTACAAACGGGGGGGGGGCATTTCAGGGAAGAGATGGGGGGAAAAAAGTCCTCATAGAATTCACCAGCTAAAAAATGGTCACAGTGTGTTCTGGCTTAGTGAGAAAGGCCTTCATGTGCTGGTTCATTTGAACTGTCAGCTCAGAACAACCTGGGAAAACCTGGGAAGAGTCTAACGAGGACTCAGGACCAGGTTGGCCTGTGGATATATCCATAGGGACTGTATTGGTCATTGATTGACAGAGGAGTGCCCCGCCCATTGCCGGTAGTCCCATTTTCTAGACTGGGAGTCCTGAACAGCGTGTGAAGGGAGAAAGCTAACTGAAAGCAAGCAAGCAAAGAAGCATTTCTACACACTCTTGATCAGCGGGTGGGTGGGACCAGTCAGCTGCCTGAGTCCCCTGCCTTGATGGCTCTGAAGCAATGTCCCAAACCCCAGTAGGAATGACAACATAAAGCATGTGTGCTACACTGCACCCAGCTCTGTGTGGTATCTGGGCATCTGAACTCAGGTCTTCATGGTCATGTGGCAAGCGCTTTACACACTGTCTGCGAGCCTAGCTTTCCTCCCTCTTAGAATATGTCTGTCTAGCTGAAACACCTGGTCCCTTGGAATGTCATATGATCTGTCCCTGACTCCAGAACCGAGCCTGAGCTTTGTATTAAACTGTGCAATCCAGTCCTGCACTTCAAAGAGGTGCATGTCCAGTCACATGCGCACACTTGTCCCTAATACATTGTGACACCCTATTACTACCGTGCCTTTATGAGCTTCAAGGGAAATTACATTTTAAATTATAGCATACAAGTATAATGGAAAATCTAATTGTGGCAATGACAGTTTATTTATCAATCATTTATCATTTTGATTTATAGGGTGCCCAACTTGATTTAAAGGGAGCTAATGTTTAAAAATCCCCAGGCAACCACACTACTAAATATACACGGATATCAACAAAGTGAATTACTCCTGCTTTTTTCTGCCTCCCTTTGATCACCTTTCCCACACCCAAGGCTGAAGTTGGGAAACACAGCCAGGTTGATCCTCGGGACTTCCAATATAGCCTCTGAGAACCTTTGATATCACATTTATTTATTATAGAAGTTGGCCGTTGGAAAGCGTCGATATTCACACACAACTAAAATTCAGCCAGTCAAATATTTTCACATCCCAGCTTCACAGAGATGCAGACTTTGGGGATAAAAAGGAATTTCCCACTTGATCTTATTTCCACACCTCCAGCCTCCTCTTAGGTTCTAATGAGGGTGTCTTACGTGGGGTGTTGGCAGGTGGGTGCGTGCCGGTATCCACGTAAGAATGTCTGTGGAGACCAGAGGTCAACACTGGTGTCTTCCTCAATTACTCTCTACCTTTTGTTGTTGTTGTTTATTGAGATAATTGTTTCACTGAACATGGAGACTATCAGTTCAAATACACTAGCTGGCCAGCACACCCAGGGATCCACCCATCTCCACCTCCCCAGTGCTCGGATAACCAACACATACTAACCATGTCTGGCTTTTTATCTTAGCGCTGGGGATTCAGACTCAGGCTCTCATCCATAATGGCAAACACTTTACTGACTTGTCCAACCTCCTAGTCCCTAAGGCTTGCATCTTTAAGAATCTGCGGTTGAAGACCATTAACACTGGGAAGGCTACCTTCATAGCCTGGGGGGGGGGTGTCCATAGCCTCATATACTGGGCAGTAAGCAAGGTCTCACTCTCTGCCACTTCTCCTTGATCACAGGCATGAGACACTCTGCTGGGTTGGGGTCAAATGCAAATGTTTCAAACTCCAGTGCTTGGCACCAGGTTATAAGTATATCACAAGCTCATGGGTTACAAGGGGATAGATTGTGATCCAGCTCCCGTGTTAGGGATGTAGTGTCAGTTGGCAGTCTCGTACTAGCATGCATGGTGACATGGGTTCAATCCCCAGTCTCTTGACCCAGCCCGGACCTGAGAAGGAAGTCTCATTTGCGGAATTACCCAGTTCAGATCAGCCTGTGAGCGCATCTATGGAGAGCTGTCTTGACTCTTAGTTGGTTCAGAGTTGCACAGCCCATTATGAGCAGGTGGTCATGGGCTATGTAAGAAAATTATCTGAGGATGAGCCTTCAAGCCAACAAGTAAGTGTTTTCCATGTTTGGCTGTGAGTTCCCTGGACGGGATAATACTACATGGAATAGCAAACAGTCCTGCCTTTAGCCCCCTGACTTAGATTCCTGTCCTGACTTCCCTCCATGAGGGAATGTTGAGGAGAGTGAGTGTCCCCCTGCAGAATGAGAATTCATGACATGATCATGACCCGTCAAGGACACCACTGCTTCGGACCTATGGGACTGGCAAAACCTTCATAGGTCAGCCTCAGGGAAATAGCAAGGCCTTCCTATGTTTGGAATAAATACATTGACAGTGCATGCAGACAGTACCAACCACAGCATCCTCCTCCTGGATGACGGCAGCTTGAAACTGCTCCCCTACAGAGTTACCCTAAGGAGATGAGTCAGCCCACTGCATCCTTCAGCTGTGTGCTAAGTTTCTGGGCTGCCGGAGTGTCTCCGTCACTGCGAATGGACCGTCTAGCACCTGTAGGTGTGCCTGTCATTTCTTCATCCCATGTCACTCCAGCCAGGTCAATCCCAAAGCAGCACAGGTTGTGGCAGACTGTGACCTGGAAGTGTAAGGAGAAATCCTTGCCTCCCTTATGTTGTTTTTGGTTATGGCATTTGTCACAGCAACAGAATGAAATTAGGGTTCTTATCCAGGCAGCAAATAAAAAAGGAACAGAGGACAAAATATATGCAGCAACATAAATGATTCTTTACACAGTACGCTAAGTCATAGGCCAGGTGTGGGCACACCTGTAATCTCAACACCCTAGAGATAGAGGCAGGGGGACCTGAAGTTCTACGTCATCTTCAGCCATGCAGCAAGTTTTCTAGTTCTTAAAAGATGCCACCACTCTGCATAAGTGAACTTAGTAGGGACCAGCCTGTAACTAGTGGAACAAAGTACCACAGTATGGAGCCCAGGACTGTGTGAGGGGAAATGGGAAGATCCCAGTTAAAAGCAGATGATGTGACTGAAGACACCGCTCAGCAGTTACAGCTCTTGCTGCTCTCCAAGGGTCCCAAGGTCAGTCCCCAGTACCCACGTCTGGTAGTTAACAACTATCTGTAACTCCAGTTCCGGGGGACCCATCACTTTCTTGTGGCCTCTGAAGGCAGCTGAACACATATGATGTATGACTACACAGATACACATGCATGCACATAAATAAAAATGTTTAAGAAATAAATCTTAATGAGCAGTGTGGTAGGTAATGAGTGCATACTATTCTTTGGTTTCTAGTAAGAGAACAGACTAAGCTGTAAACAGACAGCTCAGTGAATTAGGAAGTAAAAGATCTTGAAAAATGAGCCCAGAGCCTCTGCAGTTAAGAGCACTTGCTGCTCTTGCAGAGGACCTGAGTTCTATTCCAAGCACCCACGTCAGGCAACTTACAATCTCCTGTAATTGCGGTTCCATGGGATTTGACTCCCTCTTCTGGCCTCAGTGGGCACTGCACTTATGTACTCATACAACCCCTCCCCCCTCCACACACACACACACACATAAATAAAAGTAAACGAAAATATTTTTTAAAAGAAAGAAAATTCAATCTGGCTTACAAAACAGTAATTATGGAATAATAGAGGACCCAACACTGAAGACTTGAGGCGACATTAGTTGCAGATACTTGGGAAGCTGAAGCAGGAGGACCCCAAGTTCAAGGCCAACCTGAGTCATGGGGTGAGTTTATATCCAGCTGATCAACTCAGTGAGACCGTATCTAAAAATACAAAAATATGAGGTGGGGGAGGGTTGAGTGTAGAGCAGTCAACTAGAATCCTCTAGTGAGGGTCTGGAGATGTGGCTCCGTAGTGTGTTTGCCTAGGTACAGTATCGAGTACCACAAAAGGGAGTAAGAAAAAGAAGGGGGGGATGAGAGGGAAGGGGGGACAACAAAGGAAGGCAGGATCAGGAACAATAAAATGGTAACTACATAAAAAATAAGGCCATCATTGGTTGTCACAATCAAGTATTACTTACTGTGCATAACCGCCCACTGAACTCACAACCGCCGGTGTGGTTGGTTGGTTTAGACAATACCACAAACACTCCAGAAATATGCTGAGCTACAATGCTCTGCAGCTGCCATGTCTGGAAGCAACAGAGTCCTTTCTCTTCACTACAACCTTGTCTGACCACCATCATACATGCACTAGGTCACTGCTGGGAAGCCCTTAGCCAAGGCTTGTGAAAATTCTCTCACAGGGACCTCTGGCACCCTTTCATGGTCTCTTACGAATGTCTTACTCTCTCCAAAAACTGGAGCTCCCTGAGCTGCAGATTTCATGCTAAAGATCTGAGTAACAAAACAGACTTGGGAAATCCCACCTCGATTCCCTCTATCCATCTACCGTTGCAGAAGTCAGGGAACCAGCTGGGGGCCTGGGGGACATAGAGAATTCAGAGGTGCCCTCTTCTTCCTGGAAGGCAAAGGGACTACAGGTGGTGGCAGGAGCAGGAGTCAAAGAATCAGCTATCATTAGAAGATAATTGACTAAGGAGAAATGGTCACTACCCCCAGGTGAAGCACAAGGCATTTTCCATATCAATAAAGTCAATTATCAGAGGATGTCCGGTCCCTTGGTACTGCTATTAACCTATATTGCTCTTATTAACCTTTCTGATGAAGACTCTTTCAAAAATAATTATATTAAAGTACAATTCTCTGTGAATTTCCAATGTGTGACTGTTCCATTTCAGTACTTCTGTCGTGTGAGATAATGAGCACCTGATTGTCTGGTTACCACATGGAGGTTTTTAATCAAGGCTCCTTTTCTTGGCTCTACTGCCAGCCTGGGGCCATTCCTCCGAGTAGCAGGAGGCTCAAGGACATTTAAATGCGAAGGAATTAAAGGTAGGACAGGAAATTGAGAGATGGGCTAGTCTAGAACATGTCCACTCCCCTGAAGAGGAAATATGTTTAGTATTGATTGTCAACTTGAGAGGGTCTAGCATGAGCAGGCGACAGTCTTCCGGGCCTATGTGTGAGGGAGTTGCTAGGTTGAATTAATTAAGGTAGGAAGAACTAGACTACATGCAAGCAGCATCATTCTGTTCCGTGGTGTAAGGTCCTAGACTGAATAAAAAGGAGACAGTGAGCTGAGCACCAGCATCCATCTCTCTCTGCTTCCTGACTGTGGATGTCATGTGACCAGCTGCCTCACGCTCCTGCTGCTATGCCTGCCCTACTGCTGTGCTGGGCTGTGCCCTTGAGAAGTGAGATAATGAACTTTTCCTTTCTTGAATTCTGTTTGTCAAGTATGTTGCCCCAGCAATGAGAAAAGCAACAACACAAGAATTGTAAGCTGTGCCACAGGAGTAAGGAGGTCCATGTGTACCTCTCCCTTGGCTGTCAGACATTAAAACCATGTTCACTTGAGGAATTGGAGTTTCCCAAGCAGTCTTATGATGGGAGGAGAGGGCAGCTGAAGCTGGAGAAAGAGTTGTCTCCAGAGAGAGTTCCACAAGGTTCTGTCAACTTGACAATGACATGTCAGCAATGGACTACACCTTCAGTAGGACCGCTTACCTATGTACACCCCTTGACTCTTCCTCTATTTCAACAGAAAGCTCACACCAGTGGCCTGAACTGGGGTCACTGAACCCTTTTTTTTGGGGGTTTGTTTTTTGTTTTTTTGTTTCTTTTTGGTTTTTCAAGACAGGGTTTCTCTGTATTGTTTTGGAGGCTGTCCTGGAGCTCACTCTTTTATCCCAGGACTCGGGAGGCAGAGGCAGGTGGATCACTGAACCCTTTTATTGTTTCCACTCTCCAAAGTGGCCACAATGACTAAATCTCCTTCCTCAGCCTTTTGCCATTAGTTATCTCTTTAATGGGTAAGGTGGGACAGGTTACTGTGCAAAGCCTAACAGAGTTACTATGTGAAGAAAACAAACGAGAAGGATGGAAATGCCCCAGCCGAGGCCAAGTGAACTGGTTTGTTCCTGTCAGGGCAGATGCAGAGGCACTCCAGAGTACCTGAAGGTGCCATGAGTGTCATCACAGTTGGGTGAGACTCAGGATTCTAATGAGACATGTTAGATGTAAAACTACATGTAACATAAGTAATACTGAGAAATGACATATTGCATGAGTAAGCCAAAGAGCCCACACTAAGGTAATATTAAATCCCCCTGGGTTTTCAATGTTTGGGTCATTTGAGCTGCTGACTGTTCCTCTCCACCAGCCCACTTCTGAAGCCTTTCCTTGGGTTCTGCTTGCTGACAGTACCCACATGCCCGTCTAATCCTGTGTTCTGGGATGCAAGAACCTGGAACCCTCTAAGCAGTGTTCCCTGTGCTATAATTCAAACCAAACTACTGCTCAGGCCACAAAACCTGCAACAGGCCTTCCCCTTATCAGACACTGTCAGGCACCGTGCTGAGAACACCGTCTGTGGGTCTCTAACCTAGAGACATGCAGGTGCCCAGATTTCTCGCCTGGGGAAGTGAGTTTACAGGCTGGTGGTCACACATCATGTCCCCATCCCTTACCTACCTCATGTTGAGAAATCGGAGAGTCTGGCTGCAGGCTTGTGCTGTGAAGCATTCATCCTTGGAGAAGAGACCCCGACTCTGTCTTAGGGACCTGTCTCCTCCTCCTCAGAGATCCCGTCACACTCTGTCTGTGGCATTAATAACTCCTCTGATTTAAAAAGAAAAAAGAAGAAAATTTACGCTCAAAACTTCTTGTTCACATCCCTCTTGATCCTTGAATCTGAACTTTAATGCCAATGGGAACCTGGTAAAATGAGAGCAGAAAGTATCCAGTGCCTACCTTGAGTGACAGCCCAAGCCCTGAGTGATCTCCTGTGTCTGCCTCGTATATCTTCCCCTCAACCATCCCCAGTGAGGAAGATGCTTAGGAGCTTATAGAGGACCAGCTGTCATTCTCAAAGCTCTGCCATATCAGAAGGACAAGTAAATTCCTGGCTCAGAATGGGCATCACCGAAGAAGGATGCAGCCAATGCCACAGTTTACCAATCTAGGCTTTCCTAGACTAGGAAGGCATCCTTACTGCAGCTGCTAGGCTGATTGAGCTCCCAGCCGAGTGCAGGCCCTATTTACAAAAGCGTGATTTTTTTAAAGTCTTTATTTTATGTGTATGTACACATATGTCTGAGTGTGTGTATACATACACCCTATAGGCAGATACTACATGCATGTATGAGCCCATGGAGATCGGAAAAGGCATTGGATTCCCTGGAACTGGAGTCACAGATTGTTATAAGCCACATGTGGGTGCAGGGAACCAAAACCAGGTCCTCTGCAAGAACAGCCAGTGCTCTTAACCATTGGGTCATACCTCCAGTGGTTTTTAATTAGCATAATTTCAATCATCAGGACTAGAATTCAGTGATTTCTACTTGTGTTACTTTCCGCTATTGCAAGAAAACAACCAACCGAAGCTCTTAAGGAAAGAAAGAGTAATTTTGTTTCACTGTTCAAAGGCAGGGAAGGCATGGTGTTCAGAGCTTTTCTGTCCATGGTTGCATCTTAACATAAAAATGGGATTGGCATTGGGGCTAGGCTACAACTCTCAAAGACTCACCCCCAGTGACCCACATCTGCCAACTAGACCTCCCACAACCTCCCAAAACAGCACTATAAGGATCAAACATATGGATAGAGGTGTGGACACTTTAGAACTAAAATATGACTTTGCTCTAGGTAAACAATTTGATTGAGGGGAATTTAACACACTGAATCCAAAGCCCGGACTTATTGATATTTGGAAGTAAAGAGGAATATTATATAAAAGATTTTATATAGTTTATCATATTAGCAAGTTGGTTTAAAGGTAGATTTTAGGGGGAGTTCAATTCTTTTCAGAAGGGGAACTGGGAGAAAAAAGATAATGCCAACCACACCCCAACTACCGCCAACCACACTCCAGCCATATCCCAGCCAGACATTATGTAGCCCCTAAATAGATCCCAACTAGAGCCCAACCAGGCATCAACTGGGGCTCAATCAAATGAAAGAAACCTCAACCAATGCCAATAAGACCCCAAATAGATATTACCAAGACCTAAACCGGATGACAAATAGTCCCCAAACAGACTTTAACTTCCCAACGAGATCTCAAACCAATCCAAACCAGACGTCATCCAGGCTCAATCTAGTCTTCAATCAGACACCAGCAAGATATCAACCAGATTCTAACTAAACATCAACCAGTTGTTAACTAGACCTCATCCAGACCCAAACCAGACTCTAACTATGCAAACACCAACCAACCACACTCTAGCCAGACCCCAACCATATTCAAATCATTCATCAACCTTCTAGTTATTGATAAACCAAACTGAAGCTTCTGAATATCTAATAAGCATTAGTTTAGTTTGCTGACTTAATTGTTTTGCCAATGACTTGTTCTCAACTAGCCAAGGCAAAGTATATTTAATATAATCATTAATATACATTGGATATATTCAGTACCCCTGAGCAGAAAAATGGTAAGTTTAGTCAAACTCTATCCAAGTGCCCTTGTCATGAAAAAACCTGCATTGTGTGTCAAGGTTAGTGGCCTAAAATGTCAAATTTCTCTCTGTGTCTCTGTCTCTGTCTCTCTCTCTTTCTTTCTCTCTCTTTTAATTGTAGCATCTGATGCCACAACCACATTCTGATTCTGAGCTTTTCCCAACCATTAAATTGCTACATGTGAGGCTGTATTTTAATCTCTGATTCACTTAATTGCCTATGCTGTGCTCAAGATCCAAGACCACAATTACTGTTTCCATGGGAATAAGATTCACAGTGGCTTTTCCATCCCCCTCCATGCTCATTTGAATGTCACTTTCATCAGCTCTCTTGGGTGTTCCTATTTTCTTGGAATATTCTTCATGCAAAACCAAACAGCCTTAAGAATGGGGCCATCAACCCAAATCATAGCCCTGATTGCCACCAACCTGGCCAATATCCATCCCTTCTTTCTATTTCGGTGTGTGTGTGTGTGTGTGTATGTTCATACATGTTCTGACACATGTGCGTTTGTATCCAAATAGAACTAGAAGTCAGCCTTAGCTGTTATTCCTCAGCTACTATCCACCTTGTTTCACTGTTTCCTTTTTGAGACAAGACATTTCCTTTTTTACCTGGACTAGCTGACCAGAGATCTCTCTACCTGTCTCCTCCTCCCCAGCACTGGGATTAAAAGTATGTGTCATCACGCCTAGCTTTTTATGCATGTCCAAGGGGTAGATTCAGTTCCTCTCACTTGTACAGCAAGCACTTCCCTGACCCAGCCATCTCCCAGCCCCGTTTCCTTATTTGTTACCAGAGATCAGCTCTCCGCAGAAAAAACCACCAGTTCCTAATCATCTCATTCCTACTGGAGAAAGACATCACAGTTCCCTCACAATGCTTCTGTGTCCTCAGATGTTTTCAAAAGCTCAAAGCACAAGACAGTGAATACCACTGAATGCCAAAAACCATCTTGCTCTTAGAGCTCCACAAAAGAACCTTTATTGGTTAACCCCAGCATCAGAGAATGTTGAGATAAATATTTCAAGGCACCAGCCTTGAAGAGGTAGACTTCTGGGGGATACTTGAGTGGGAAATGTCTGGGTTTCTTATTTTTACAGAAGAAGGTTCCGGAACATAAAGGCATACAGCACCCATCCTTGTGCCTGTGACGTGCTGGGCTATCTGAAGAAGAGTGACATAGTTTCTCCGTCTTTACTTATTTCTCAGCAAGATGGGGAAAAGTGGTACTTGTTTGCCAAGGTCATGGTGCGGGCCAGCCACATTTGTACTTGTGATGCATCTCGTGAGACCTGTGCATGCAGGAGAGGCACACCCCTCCTTGCAAAGGCACACCCTTCCCACCAGTTAATATTTCCATGAGAACCACCAAGCAAAGAAAAGACCATGTGCTTGATGTCAGATTCTAGGACTGAAATCACAGCCCCATCACAACCCCTTCGAGGCCAGGCAAAATGTGTCACCTTTCTGAGCTGTGGCTTCCTTGCCTGCAGATGGGGCAAGGTTCAACTCACCTTGCTGACCCAGAACACCACTACAGCGCTGGTGTTGACAAATGTTTCTTTCTTTTTCTCCCTCGAGTCTCCCTTCTGACTCGCTTATGCATCTCTTTGTAACCCCGGGAGAATTATTTAACCTTTCTGGCTCTGAATTCCCCTTCCCATAAAACTAAAGGGTTTGACAAGGCCCTCTTTGAATTTCCTTCCAACTCTCACATGCTGCAATTCTTTTACTTTGAGCTGCCCCTTGGGATATGGTAATGGGTTACATTCCACAAAAGACTTGGATGTCATATTACGGGCTGTAACACAGCTTCCAGAAAACTCTCCTGCTCTCCCCAGCAGAATTCCCCATTGTTCCTAGCATAATGAATAACCCAACACCACAAATACTGCATCTGAGTCCTACTGGTGTCCACAGGCTGTTGCATTCCAGGGCCCACCTGAGGAGACACTGAAAACCTGGAGGATGACTCCCTGTGTAAAGTACTTGCTGCAGAAGCATGAAACCCTGAGAGTGAGTCCCCAACCACCCCCAAAAAGAAACCAGATGTGAGAGCATACCTCTGTAACCCCAGCTCTGGGCAGGTGGAGACAGTGGATCCCTGGAGCGAGTTGTCCAGTTAGAGATAATCACTGAGCTCCAGGATCAGTGGGAGACATTGTCTCAAAAAAAAAAAAAATAAAGTGGAGGGTGCATGAGGAAGGCACCCATGGTCAACCTGTGCAACGTATGTACCCCTATGTGCTCCTGCACCTGCACACATGTCCATACACACACGAACACATGTGCACACTCATCCTACCTGTAGAATGAACAACAGCACTAGAAGGCTCTGGTGTGAAGGGTGGACTCCAGATTATGATGATGTGTCTGGGTAGTTGGTTCGAGTTCACTGGTGATGTCATCTGCAGCAAAAGCCACTCTGCTGCAAGAGGTACACGTGAGGGATACCGTTGGGTGAAAAGCCTGATTTTTACCACGTACCTTCCCCTCAGTCTTTTTAGGAACCTAAAAAGTACTCAAACAAACAAATAAAACAAAACAAAATAAAAAACAAACAAACAAAAATCTTGAGGAGGGAGTGTAAGGATGGCTCCGTGGCCTGCTCTTGTGGAAGACTTTACATCGGTGTGTTTGCAGGAAGCTGTGATGGACAGATTTCTTATCCTAGTAAGGATGACACTCCTAATGATACTGACCTAAAACTGTTGTCAAACAGGAAGTAGAGCCCCTTTCCTGAGGTCTCCATGGAACCCACTTTCTCCCTCTTCTCCCTACTCTAATACTGGGAGTCTAGAGCACTGGAGAAGAACAGCATGAGATCGTCTTGACCACTAGCTACCCAGTCCACAGGAGGCAAAGGGCACATCCAGGACTCAGATGCGGGTATTCTATGATACAGATCCTCTCTTCAACATTCTGAGAGATTCCTGTGCTTTCTGTGAAGCTTCTGCCCACTCCATGGTAGACTCTCCATGAGAAGGTGTTGTGTTACCTGCTCTAAGTTTCCTTTCTGCTGGTTGGATCAACACCAAGACCAAAAGCAAGTTAGGAAAAGAAAAGGGTAGGCACAGCTTACACTTCCAGGTCACAGTCTGTCATTGAGGGATGGCAGTGTAGAAATCCACGAATCAGAAACCATGGAGAAGCACTGATTGTGGCTCACTCTCTAGCTCAGTCACAGACTCACACTATGCTAATTTTTAAAAAGATACAGCCTGGGACCACTCACCCAGGAATGGTGCCTCCCACAGTGGGCTGAGCCCTTCAGTATCCATTAACAGTCAGGACAGTCTCTCACAGACCAATCTCTCTACGGAGGCTTCTCCTTTCAGATAATGCTTTAGGCTGTGCCAAGTTGATGAGGCTAACTATGATCCTAGACTAACCTGTAGCCTTCTTGATGCTCTGATGGGATTATCTATATTCTTTAAAGACGCTGTGGCTGTAGCATTTGATGCTCAAACCATCTGGCGGGTGGGACTTGCATTCACAGGGATCAATGCGGCTTTGCCTGTAGTTAACACTGGGTATCTGACTATGGGCAATGATTTTTTTCCTCTGGCTCTATCAGTTACTATTCTGCTGCTATTTAGCCCATCCTGATTTAAAAAGCAAGTTAGAGAAGAAGGGGTTTGTTTTGGCTTAACAGTTCCAGAGAGGTGGACTCCACAACGGAAGGGAGGCATGGCAGGAAGACTATGAGGTTTGCCTGGCAGTCAGGAAGCAGAGAGATCACATTTTATTCACACAGTAAGCACATCGAGAAAACAAATAGCGAGACCAAGCTGTAAACTTCAGAGTACTCCCAGCCCAGTGACGCTCCTCCTCCTAAGGCCCTACCTCCTAAAGATCTCACACTTCCCCAAACAACACCACCAACTAGAGACCAAGTGTTCAGGTACGTGAGCCTATGGGGTACATTCCTCATTCAAACTGCCACACCGACTCTGAATAATAGGTGTAAAATAGGGTATATGTTGTGCTTTGGTTCATAGGACTGTTGTGAAGACTGACCCCTCAAGGGATTTGTTCTCAGAAGATACCAAAATCTGTGACTCTCTTTTAAACAAACTAGCAGTGTTTGCATATATCCTTGGTACTTTAAATCACCTACAGATGACTCGTGCTACCTAACCCATTATAAATGCTATGTAATTGTTTGGTGCATGTTGCTTCAGAAATAATGGCAAGGAAACACCTAGACTGTTCAGTGTGGACTTAATTCATTTTCACCTGAATTCTGACCTTTAGTAAAATGTAAAGATTTGAAGCCTTACTCCCAGAAGACTGGATAGACGTGCAAAGCAATTGCCGCAGCAGCTGGCACTATTCAATATGAGTTCAAGACCAGCCTGAGCTATATCTGCACCCATCCATCCATTCTCTTCATCCTTCCACCCATCAGTCAGCCCACGTGTTCATTCATCTATCCATTCACCCACCTACCAACCATTTATCTATTCATCCTTTCTTACGTGTCCTTTAATTATTATAAAACGTTGGTCTCATCCCTCTAATGGTCTGTTACAGTGTCTAGAGGAGTAGTCATCACACTGGGGTTGAACCGTCTTTGGATTCTCCATCAACTGTCCCAAGTGTAACATTTTTGAAGAGAGACTGGATGGTGAATTGCCATCCCTGAAGTCCCTGATGAACTGGGAGTTATTGGGTAGTTGGTGACATCAGTGACTGGTGACCTGGATTGGCCTTTGGAAAGTCCCAGATGGAAATCATAGCAGTCTGATCCCATCCTACATCCTGCTGGCTCTGGTGTTTTGTCAGGCTTCCAGAATAATATACGAGCATAAACTATGCAAATCAATATTTCAAGAGGCAGAGACACAGGCGCAAGTTTCATTTCTAGTGCTGGAACCATCTTTTCCTTACCCACGAGAATACTTGGAATGTAGTTCAGGAGAGCAGGCGCACGCAGAGCAGGAAGGCCTGGGTTCCATCTTGCATTCTCCCCATGTGACCTAGGGCAGGTGATTTCATAACACAAATTCTCAGTTTCCTTTATTAAATTTGGCTGATTATTATTATTGGGCTAATTATACTTATTATCTATTTCATAAGGGTATTAAAAGAATTAAAAGGGAATTTTGAAAAGAATTTGGCACAGCTTTTAGCTAGTGATACTCATTAAATGGTTGTTAATTGTTTTGGTTTTTTTCTTTTTTTATTGCCATTAACTTTTCCTTCAAAGAGTTTGCCTGTCTCCATTTGAGGGTGACTGTGGAGAGATTAGCTTCAGGGTAACCATTAATCCATCCTGATATTTATCATTTATTCATTAATTGCAAGGCTTTATGCTAAATTCTTCAGGGGTATGAATCAAGCCCTCAGCGAGCTTCTGTTTTTATCTAAGAAGATAAGGCAGTTTCATAAATTAGAACAAGTAACTAAACTCCTTTGGGCCTCATTTATCTCACTTATTTAATGGAAGATTTGGGGGCTGAAAGCTAGAAAACTGAACAAAACTACAGAGCTAGGAAGATTCAGATAAAGCGGATGAATGGATGAGTGGGTTGGCGGGTGGGCTGCCTGGTGGATGAATGGATGGGAAAATGGATGGATAAGAGAGTGTGGAGGTGGAAAGATGGATTGATGTATAAATGGGTGGAAGGGTCAATGGGCAGGTGGGTGGGTGGGGTGGTGTGTAGATGGATAGATATATGTAGGTGGATGGGTATATGGACAGGTTGATGAGAAGTGGATTGTGGGTGGACTGGTGACTGAGTGGGTGCATTAATAGACCATCACCTGTGGGGGGAATAGGAGAGTAGCTGGGTGTGTGAGTAGGTGGGTGAATGTAGGTGGATAAATGGATGAGTAGGTGAATTGGTGAATGGATGGTCAGATCCGTGGGCAAATGTGTGGATAAATGAGTTGGTGGGTGGGAGGGGCATGAGGATACATGTATTTAAGCCCATATTTCACATATAAGGGAAAATGCGATAGTTTTCTCTCTGAGTTTGGTTTATTTTACTTAATACAATGTCTTCCATTTTTATTCCCTTTTCCTGCAAACTGCACAGTGTCACTCTTTAGAGCTGAGTAAAACTCATTATGTGTGTGTGGCGTATCACATTGTCTTTAGCCAGTCTTTTGACGATGGGTTTTTATGCTAGTTCCATACCTTGGCTCCTATGGATAATGATGTAATAAATGTGGATGTGAATTGTCTTTACAGCACGTATTGCCATTTCTTTCTTGAAGAGTGTCCAAGATGAAGAAGAAGGGAATGAACAGGGAGCAAGCTGGTGCTATACATTTGGGGAAGAAAGAACTGAGATTAAAAAAAATCACGGTGAACACTTTGACTCCAGCAAAGCCCTTTCCCCCTGTACTATGAAGGATAAGAGGCTGCGTCCTACCAAACTATTCAGGTAAAAGTTGTACAGGATAGGCAACAGCTGAGCTGACTTCATGAGTGAGTCATCTTAAGGAAGTGGCAAATATGTAGGGGCTGGGAAGATGGCTCAGTTAGTGAAGTGCTTGCTTCACGGGTATGAAGATAGGAGTTCAGTTGCCCTGAATAAAAAAGACAGACATCTCGGCATGAGCCAACACCGGGGGAGTGGAGATGCGTGATCCCTGGGGCTCAGTGGCCACTCCATCTAACTTAGGAAGAGACTTTGCCTCAAAAAATAAGACAAAATCAATTGAGGGAGTTGATCAATGATGACCTCTGACCGCCACTTGCATTTACACATAATTGTACAAACACATGTATATACACATGCACACATGTGAACACACACACACACACACGAAATTGATAAATAAGAACTTCACAAAACAACATGACAAACATTTTGCACTTGCTCATATGTGTAGTATAATGTCCTAGCCTCAGACTGGGTTCTGAGAAATGAGACACCCCATAGGACTGCTTCTGACTCCTCAGGGGACACAGACCCACAAGCTTTAGTGTTTTCTCTGGGGGAACAGATACACTGGGCTGTATCTGTTACTAAGAGTTGAAAGATAAGGAACTTTCTGTAAAACACAAAAGTATGGAGTTGCTTCCTTATTCAATAGACTTGAGTCCAAATATTTGTAGGAAAGACGTTTTGAAAAGTAAACCTTGTTTTCACTTTTCATACAAAGACAGTTTATTTCTATACATGATATTGCCTGATGCTGGGGGTAGGATAATATGCACTGAGAAGATGTGTGTCTGAGTTTCTAGTCTGCTGCTGTGAGAGAATGGCCCAACAAGAGCAATGGAAGGGGGAGGAGGATTATTATAGTTCATAGTTCAAGGGTACAGTCCGTTGTAGAGGGGAAGCCAAGGTAACTAGAGCTGCTTACAACACTTCCATAATCAGGAAGCAGAGAAGAACAAATATTGGACGCTCCCCATCTCTCTTTCTCCACTTACACACTCCAGGATGCCAGACCAAGGAATGACAGCACCCACAGTTGGGTGGGTCTTCCCATTCTCAATTAATGGAGCCAAGGCAGGCTTCCACAGCCCAGAAGGCTAGAACCCTCAGGTGATTCTAGATTATGTCAAAGTGACAATCAACACTAACCATCACTATCTGTTACCAGAAGAGTGAAGTTTTGAAATTCATGTTGTAATTGTTCTGTGCGTTAAAAAAAAATAGACTTTCTTGCAGCCTTGCACTTTCTTTAAAGCCGGGCATGCTTCATATGCAAAATTCTTTGCTCCCAGGCAGTTCCTGGGGCTTTGCTGAATTTTTTGTAGAGCTCAGGGAAAGGGAAAAAATGATATATTTGATCATGGATGAAGCCAAATATTTGCATACCTTTGCAATCCACCTCTCCCTCACCTGGCAGTTTGGCCATGACGGAGGAAACCTGCAGCCCTTGGGGAACAGATTAGCTGAGCCAGCCTGGTGAGCAAGTTCAGCCTCCTCTGCTGTGTAAACATCTCTGACCTCTCAGGGGCCCTGGAGAGATTAATGAAAGTCAGCAAAGAGCAGTGCTCAATGCTTGTGTGGTTGCTGCTGTTCCGGGTCCAATGGATCGCTGTGTGTGCTCTTGACCTTCCAATCCCACTGGGAAGCTACCAGGGTGCATCTGTAAGTGTTTGCTTCATCTACTGTAGGGATGGACCATGGAAGCTCTGCAAACCCCAGCTCCAGAACAGCAGTCAGTATTGATGATGCCAGTTTTGAGGGTAAAGGAAGCCTTATGTGTCTGGTAGATGTTCTACACGTGTTGGGGCTCAGTAACTTGAGAGTTGCAAAGCTCACTATATACAACTGGACATGGTGATGCATGCTTAGAGGCACTGGAGACATAGAGACAGGGGATTGCTAGGCTATGTATGAAACAGAGTTCACTCTTTCCCTAGTCATGGGGATGAGACTTGGTTAATGCATTATTCATGCAATGGAATGAGGACTGTAAGGAAAAATCAACTTTTCCGCTTATAACTTTATTAACTCAGGTATTTTTGTCATAGGCCATGGTAAGCTGGTATATCCTTGTGCTCACAACTTCAATGCTTGCCGGGCGGTGGTGGCGCATGCCTTTAATCCCAGCACTCGTGAGGCAGAGGCAGGAGGATCTCTGTGAGTTCGAGGCCGGGCTGGACCGACAGCCTCCAAAACAATACAGAGAAATCCTGTCTCGTAAAAACAAAAAACAAAAAACAACTTCAATGCTTAAAGTCCTAGGTACCTGAAGGGTCTAGTTCCTCTACCAACTCTCAAATATGCATTAGAATGCTTGGATTCTGGATCCTACAGAGGGTGGTATCCTCTTCTGCTTAGACCATGGTTTGTTGTCATCCTCAAATGGTCCCAAGCAAAAGCAGGCTGCTCAGTCCTGGCATCAAATCCCCAGACAGGCATCGTGCCCCTATTAATACAGCTAGAACAGCCTGATCTGGAGTCACTCACTCTGCAGCTGGCATTGTGCTTGACGTTTTGTGGAGTCAGCTCATCCATCAAGGACAAACATGTTGACACGTCTCTAAGTGACATCCAACCTCTCTGTAGAAGTGGACAGAGAGATTAGACCCCTGAAGGCTGTTCCCAGATGCACCTTGACAGTGGTAGGTTAGAAATCAATTTTAATCTCTCTCCCATTATTTCAGGGTGACTCGGTCCCTAGATCACACCAGTCTCATTTGCAAAGCAAATGACACACACACCGGGACCCTCCATGTGGTCGCTGTTTGTCTCCTTTCCCTTGCTGATGTGGGTGGTTCTTGTCAGGCTTCAAACAAAAGGCACCGGGTGTGGAAGAACACCAGCTACTCCAACAACCACTTCATGTGTGGCCAGGGAGCCAGAGTTGTATGCTTCAGATCTTAGACACGCTGCAAAGCTCCCAGTGGAGGATTAGTCCCCAAAGGATGCACTGTTGGGAACTCAGGAACTTAGCTCCCATCTATCTCCCTCACATCGCTGCCCCTATCCTTACCTCTATCTCTGTCGCCATCTCTAACTACATATCTCACTTCTATCTCCAGCACCACCTCTAACTATCTCTACATAGCTCTACCTCTATCTCAGCTTTCTCTGTCTCCTCATCTCTATTTAACCTTAGTCCTCTATCATCTCTTTCTATGCCATCATCTTTCTTTACCTCTCTCTGTGTCTCTATCTCTCTCTTCGCTTCCTGGCCACCATGAGGTGAACAGCTGTGCTGCGACGTATCCCCCTCACCATAATGTTCCGTTTTACCCACCATCCTAACATGGCTCCAGATGACCATTAGATGAACCTTTGAGACTATGAGTCAAAATAAAACCTTCCCCTGCCCTTATTAATTATCTCCGATATTGCCATAGCAACAGAAAGCTGATTAATATAAAGAAGAAGAAGGAGGGACCAAGATTCCATAATCTCCTTCAAGAGTATTCTGCCAGTGACCTAAAGAAAGACTTCTGTTTACACCCCACCTATTATCAAGCATGTCCAACCTACATACTGCATCTCAGGATAGCTGTGAATGAAGCCCAATATGTTTGTAAGCTGCAATCAATATAGTATCATGATGTCAAAATTTGGATAACACCACAGGTTCCACCACTCCATATGGCATGAATACAAAATGTCCTCCACTCTGGGCTTGTTTTGAACCTTGCTTCTCAGATGGCAACAGTGGTACTTGGAAGGGGTCTAGAACTATTAAGAGGTAGATCTTAGCCAAAGATCACTGGAGACAGGTCTTTTGTTTCTCTGCTCCCTTGTCTAGTCATCACATGAAGACTTCTTATCACCATGAAGATGCTGCCTTCCCTGCAAAGATGGCAGGTGCTTCCCAAAGCTGTGAGCCAAAACTCAACCTCCCTTACCCTAAGTTGCTTCTGTCACAGTGTGAGAAAAGTTGACGAATGCAATCTCCCAACAGCAGCTAACTGGTGATAAGCCTTTTGCATATGGACCCTTGGGGGACAGTCAATAACCAGGATGCTGAGGAGACATTTCAGGAGAGAGGGAGTGTCTGTGTGTGTGTGTGTGTGTGTGTGTGTGTGTGTGTGTGTGTGTGTGACAGAGAGACAGAGACATAGACAGACAGACAGACAGACACAGAGAGAGAGAGAGAGAGAGAGAGAGAGAGAGAGAGAGAGAGAGAGAGAGAGAGAGAGAGAGAGAGAGAGAGCAGGCAAGCAGGCAGATAAACAGACAGAGATAGAGAAAATCCAAGTAGCTTTTGGTAACCTCGGACCATCAGTTCAGGGTGAGACAGCAGCCTGCAAATGAAGCCACTTCCACAAGCACATGTGAGACCTGAGCCCTCTGTCTCCTACCACCTCATGCAGGATGCAGCTCACAGAGCATGGAGACAGCAGTTCAAATGTCTCTCTTGAAAGTCTCCAACTCTCAGTGTCTATGACTAAAGCTGATGTCCCAAACAACCCTCACGAATCAACTGGATGAGAACTGTGCAACAAATAACCCTCAGGTGTTATTTCTCAGGCACTATCCACCTTTTTTGACACAGGGTCTCTCCCTTGGTTTGGAGCTCAGCAAGTTAGCCAGCAAGCTCCAGGGATCCTCCTGTCTCTGAATTCCCAATGTTGGAATGACACATGCAAACTACCATGCCCAGCTTTGTCTTTTTTGTTCTTTTTGTTTTTGTTGATGATGTATTCTGTTGGTTCTGGAGATCAAACTCATGTCACATGTTTACAAGGCAAGGCCTCTACTGACTGAGCAATGGCTATCTCTCCAGCAAGGCCTCTACTGACTGAGCAATGGCTATCTCTCCAGCCTTGACAGTGATGGGTCATTTTGTCAGCTGTCTAATTTGGACACCAACTTGGAACACATATATA